GGGTCGGACTCAACCCACCATGGGAAATGCCTTCACTCCTCCACCTCCCACCAATGGGGGCCTTTTGGGGCTTTTAGAGACATCTCCTCTTGCTGGGATGGGATTTTTTTTTTTCATTTTAAAAGCAACTTCATATCCCATTTTATTATTTTTTAAACGTCGCAGGATTTGCACTGTTTGAAGTCTTACATCCTCATTTCCCGTCAGGACGATTAAAATTGATTTCCGCCATCAGCAAGAGAAAGATAATCCTAAGTGGGTTCCTGCGAGAGAGAGCTGTATCCCCACCGGAGCCATTACAAACCCTCTCCTATTATTTTAACTTTCTTTTCTTAGGAATTTCTCTTCAGAAAAGAGCAACTTAGCACTTCTCGGACATACGCGTCCTCCAAGAAGTCGGGGAGAACTATTTAACCTCATGTATTTACATCACAGAAAGTGGACCAGGGATTTAAATAGTTCTTGTTTACCACCACCACCCTCCCAGAGGTATTTTTAGAGGGGTAATCGGATCCTCTCGACGCCTTTGCTTTGCTTTCTTGGGTCCGCATCCTCCGACCCCATCCCTGCACCTGTCCCAGTTTGTAACCAGGCAAACTGAAACGGGATGGATTTTTCCCATTGCATTAAACTAGGTGATTCCTGGTGCACCCGGAAGCTTTGCAGAAGGAGGACAGAGGGATTTGGGCTGGAAAACCATTTCCAAGGTGTAAAACCTCTGGCCGACAAAGAAGACATGGAAATAATGGGCATGGAGGGCGAATGGCACTCAGGGATCCAGCCGTGCCTTTACCTATCTCTTAAATCAATTAAACCTGGAATATCCTAAGTAAAAAAATCAACTAAAATAAATTAAATAAATTTTAAAACTCAATTAAATAGATTTTTAAAGTCTATTAAGTAAATTTTTAAATTAATTAAATCAACTAAACCCTGAACATCCTAAATAATCTCTGAAATACAACAAAACCACCCCTAAAATATAAATAGCATCTTTCCAGGCTGGAGGATCCTGAGGGTCCTACAACTGTCCCACTCCTGTGCTGGTTTGCAGCAAACTTCCGTAATCAAATTTATGCAAATGAGGGGGGGTGGTCGTTCCTATCGTGCCTGGGGGGGAAATGATGGGTTTGTACCAATGCTGCAAGAAGAGCTCAGCTTTCCCTGGCCACCATCCCCAAGCTCCCAACCCATAAGGAGCCACCCCAAAAAGGGGGTCCCCAGCCAGGTCCCCACCATCTAACGGCATCCCCATCATAAGGCTTAAATACCTTTACAAGAGAGTAATTTAACGCCATCCCCAGCTTAAGCTCCATATCTACCGGGCGTGAAATTAGTTCCAGCAAGCTGCAAATTTGCCACTAATAAAAATATTTAGCAATTCGCTAGTCTTTAAATCAGGAGCAGAATATTTTCTTGCTTGCATCAATGCCTATTTCTTTCTAATTCTAATATTTGAGCGTCAGGGAGCTCCAGCCGTAAAACTGCAAGTTTTACGACTGCGCAAAGAGTTTTAAATCAATTCCCCCAGTGCTTCCAACTCCGCTGCCAGGAGTTTGGTCATTTAATATCATTTGATATTAGACCATGTTGGTCATTTTGCCCACTGGGATGAGCCAGGCATGGTGGATTTGCAGTTTTTAATGCAAAAAAGGCCATCTCGACCCAAACCCGTCCCATTTCCAGGGGCTGCTCCTTGAGCAGTGTATTACAAAACAGCTTTGATCCATGTGATCCTGCCTTGCAGCCCTTGAAGGAAGGTGACCTCTCTGTCCTCCTGGCCCAAGCGTTTAATTAGCCTCAGCGCTAATTGCATCTCTCTGCCAAGCCCATTTTGTCCAATTCCAACATCAGGATCTTTTTCATGCCTTTGCCAAGAAATGCCGCAACCCCCTTGCCTTTTCCTTGGGAAAACCAACCCACGGTGATGAAGCACCCTTCAAATCATTCCTCGGCAGGATAGCATCTCCCATCCATTGGAGACCACCGGAATTATTTGTGGCCAAATAAATCCTTTGCATTGGGTTTTGCTGGGCTGTGAGCATCCAACAGCATCTGGATGACTCCGCTTCTCCTTATTTAAAGCACGGTATCACTTAGGAGCCTTGCCAGTAAAGGCTTTACGGTACTTAGATTATTGATATCAAATATGTTGGACCCGGAATTAATTGTTAGCGCATTGTCTGTCATCAGTTTGATGCATCCTGTCCCCAGCACAAGGGTTCGGATGCAAATGCCATGTGGTGCAAGTCAAAAGTCTTGGAGGAACCAGGATCCACAATACCAGCAGAAGTCCCCACATCAACCATTATCCTGGAAAAAAACCACCACAAATATGAAGTTTCTCCCAGAGTCATGCAATCATAGCAAACAACACAAAAATCTGCAATTTCTGCTGCTTTCCTACATTTTTTAATTCACATTTTATATTCAGCATTGCTTTTCCCCCCTTTATGTTTGGGGTTTTTTTACAGGTGCAATGCAACTCTGACACAAGCAGTAAATGATATCAAATCCTAGTGGGTAAAAGCTAGGAAAAAAGCTAATTTTAGGACAGCAGTAAATTATTCTTTGGCCATCAAATCTAATCTTTGCATTCAACTGACCAGCTGCCAGAGCAGTCTCATAAGGCAAATCCCCGCCAAGGTATTTCTGATGCCGGGGGGAGGCTAAGATAAAGAGGGTGTTTCGGATGACGTGTTTCATTGCAGATGGGTTGAAGAAATTTCTAAGGAAGGTTGTGCTTGGAAATACCACACTGATGAGGTTGGTTTTCCCAGGTACCTTCTCCCAATTCCTTAGCTGTGGATTTACAGTTTGCCTCCATGGTGCTCAAAGAAACACATAGCCCTGCTGCAATACCATATGTACCATTTAAATACATATAATAGGGATATTTTGGAGTGTGTTGAGCTGCTGGGCATCATTTCAACTCCAAATCTTAGTGCTTGAGTTACCATCAGCCCAACTATGCTGGATACAACAGTTGGGATTAAAACCAACAAGCTACATGGCTAAAACCTGGCTGCTGGTTGTGGTTGCTGGGGCATATATCAGATTTATTCTTTGACGTCTGGCCAAATATCCGGCACATGGCGTGGTTCAGCAGTAGGTTCAGTAGCTGGATGATTCAAGCTCTCTGCTGCAACCTCTTGAACTTGCTTAATGTTGTCATTGCCGGCATCAAGAAACTCCCAGGCAGCACCAAGAGGAGATGAAAGAGATAATAAGTAGTGAAAAGACCCTGTCGATGTGGGAACGGGTTAAAGATGCTGTTGTTAAAGCTGTGGATAAAAGGTAGATGGGAAAATTCAGTGAAGGAAAAGCCTTGTTGGCTGATGGACAAAAATGATCACTTTTAGATGGAAAGCCAAGGGATGGAAGAGGAATGGCAGAAAGAGAAGGGTCTCTATGAAAAGAGGGCTATGAAGAAATCTGGGGTTTTACAAACTACCGGGCTCCAAAAATGCAAATAAATGGGAAAATAGAGAAAAGCAAAGGGAGATTCTCAAACAACAGGAGCAAACTTGTAGTTTCTGATTGCCAACAGGAGCAGGAAGCACAGGGAATAACGGAAAAGAAGGGTTGGAAAAACGATGGTGAAGATGGACATGGCCAACGTGGGGCTTGCAGAGAAAAAAACCCCTCTCTGGTGGGATTAACGGCACGAGACGGTGTGGGAAGGAGTTTGCTATCAAACATACGCTTTTAATATGTTGGCAGCCGGTTCCTACTCGATGCCAAGTAAAGGCAGGTGTCGGAGACAGTTTGCGCTCTGCTTGCCGAACTGGTTGATGTCACGCTGGCGACTTTGATTTCATCGCAGGAAAAGGCAGGTTGATGTCACGCAGCATAATTAATCGCCGGTTTATTCCTCCCATTGAAAGAAATGACAGAAGGAAAACAGCAGTTACGTGACATTTTATGCAGTCAAAGTATCATCAGACTTCAAGCAGTTGAGAGCAAAAACTGAATATATCAATGCATTTACTTTTCTCGGGTTAACTGGTAGATGAGCCGCGAGTACCAGCATAAAGCCACCCATCAAACCACACTGGCCAGAGTCCTATGAGCGAGATGCGATGGGAAGAGACAGGATTTAAAAGCAGGCAGAAAAATGGGTTTAAATTGGAAATCCCTTTTCTCTTGGTATTAAAAGGTGCTCGGTGCATTGAAAAACCTCCTTGGCTTGGCTTGGAGGCCCTCGACCCCTGGTGTGGCCACCCCACAGCAGTGCAAAACCCTGCCGTACACAGCCGCATCTGTATGAACCAAATCTGCCCGATTTTGGCCCTAAATATTTTGAGGGTGTGGGCAGTTAGATTTCAGGGTTTGGGCCTTGAGACCTTGCTCAAAGAGAGATGCTCCCTGTGGCAGGGTGGGCAGGAGCTGGCTGGCTGACCAGGGCCGGTGGCACAGCCTATGCAACGAGCGACGCTGCGTTAATTAAGCACCGATCTGCCTGCAACGGGAGCCGGGGGGGGGGAGGAAATTCCCGTTCCACCGGGAGCACCTCCCAGGACCGGTACGGGGGCTCCCGCCGCGGGAGAGTCAGCGGCTGGAGGAGGGTTCTGTGAGCTCCCTGCCGCCGGGAGAGCTGGCACTGTCGCCGGGAGAGCCGGGAACGGGAGGGCCGGGACCGGGAGGGCCGGGACCACGTTGCCGGGAGCCTAGTGGCGCGCATCCGCCTCTGGCGGCGCGGGAAAAGCCGCGGCCCCGGCCCCGGCCCCGCGTCCCGCCCCCCAGCCAATGGGAAGCGTCGGTCGAGCTAGCGGCCGGCGCTGATTGGCTCGGCCGCTGCGGCGCGGTTGCTAAGGGGGGAAGCGGTAGCGGCGGA